GAGTTGGTCTTCTCATTTGTTGTCTTGCAGGGGTTCTCTGAATCTCTTGTGTTTGGATTTTTTCATCCTTGATGAGATGAGGGAAGTTTTCTTGAATGATTTCATGAGATGTTTGTTCCAGTGTGGCTTCTGTTTCTCTCTCTCTGCCTGAGGAAGCCCAATTACTCTTAGGTTTGGTCTCTTGAAGTGATCATTCATCTCTTGCAGGTTTTGTTCTGTCTTTTTGAGCTTCTTTTCTATGCTTTTGACAGTTTGGGTTAGTTCTGTGTTTTGGTCTTCGAGCTCCGAGATTCTTTCTTCTGCTTGGCTAATTCTGCTTTCCATGCTTATTAGTCTGTTATTCATTTCCATCATAGTATTCTGTACTGCTGTTATTTCTGACATCAGCTTCTTCCTATTTTCCTCTTGTCTCCTCAATTTTTTACATTCTCTCCATTAATGTCTTGATGTCTGGGTTTGTTGCATGTGACCAGTCATTCTGGGGGCTCTTCATTGTTTGTGTTCCAAAATCTGTTTCTCAGTGTCTGATCTCCCAGGGATCTGTGTGAGACCTATATTCTTCTTTTGGTTTTTCTTCATTTGTGAGGTTTTGTCCCCCTCCCTACTTTTTCCTTCCCTCCACGTCACTGTCTTCTTTAATTCTGTTATTCATGGGTAAAGGGATTGGTTTTACTACTGTTTGTTCAATCTCCTATTCTTCATGTATGCCCTCTTACTTTGTTCAATTCTGGAGTTGCACTGTAGGTTGGGGGTGGGCCTTTTTGCAGTTTTGAGATTTACTTAAGGGGGGAGCTGTGATTCAAAATCTATCTGTAGGTCCTAGTATTTGTTGACAGGTGTGTGGATAATCTGGAACCCACTTCCCACTGCCTTGGAATCTGTCCGTGCAGTGGGGCTGTAGGTTTACTCCCTGAAATAAAATGTGGTTAGCAGAGGGAAGAGAATGGAGCAGACAGTGGGTTGAAGAGGTGGGTGGAGTGATAAAGGAATAAGGGGGGAAACAAATGTGTGTCAACAAATGGAGAGAGAGACCTATACTGAAACAGATAAAAACAATAGACCACAGCTACAGACAAACCAACTCCCATACAAAAAAAAAAAAAATAAAACATATAGTGATGCCAGCATACAAGCTAACCAACCACCTTATTGGTGTGCTGTTCCTCTATACAAAGATATGGTTTACAGAGAGAAGAAAAGGAAGAGGAAAAAAAAAACCAAAAAAAGGAACAATACAGAATGAATAGAATTAAGTCATTAAACTAACAGAATCAATGAAGCACACTCTGAGACTTTTCGTTTAAGTCCAGTGTCATTTTAGTTCTGATTTCTAGCTTTCTTTTCAAGCTGGTAAATTAGTTTGCAGTTAGGTTCAGTTGCCCCTGGTCTGCTGTGAAGGACAGTTCAGATCACCCTCCGTTCACCACTCTGGCCTATGTCTTTTTCAAGCTTGTTTCTCCCGTTTCGGTGTTGTTACCTTGAATCGCCAGCAGGTGGTGCTATCTCAGCTGCTCGCCCCAGAGAGGGTGGGGCTGGCCAGGAACCGGGTAGAGACTGGAGATGGATGCCTGCCTCAGGGCACAGGCAGGAGACTCATGGCGGGTAGGACGTCTAGGTCGCAGGAGAGGTGGCAACGATCCCAGCAGATCTTCCCTGAAGGGGCTTCAAGGACTGAAGTCATGGATCGCCTCCGACCCGGGTGGTGCTATGTGCTACCAGCGGTGGCGGCGTCGTCTGCGCTGCAGTGGCTTTCCAGTCCACTGCGATGCCCCAGTGGTGGCAACGGCCGAGCTTCGTATGAAGAGCAGGCTGCGATGTTGGGTCTGCAGCCCCCGGGGCGAGAGCCAGAAACCCACTGCAGTTCTCCTTTGTAAAGGGTTTCACAGACCAGGTTGCCCCGTTGCCATTTTGCCAGAAGTCTGACTTTATTTCTTGTAAAGGGTTATACCCACAAGGTGGCCATCTCTGCCAAGAACAGGGATTGGCACCCAGAAGGAGGAAGATTTAGGCAGGAGCTTTCTGCTGAAAGAGTTGTCTAAACACACATATTCAGCAGGTTATAGGAGGAGATATGAATGAATATTCATGAAGGTAGTCATGACCATGAACAAACATGCTTGTGACATACAACCCATGTTCACTTTGGGGTGGAGAGTTAACATTTAAATGCATTACAGTCAAGACTTATGCATTAAAAAGTGTTTTCAGTACAGGAAGATGTGCAAGTAAACAGGTCTGTAAACCAGACAGAACCAGTCCTTGGGGAATGTTTCTTACCAGGACAACTTTACTGAAATCAGTCTCTTGTCCTATCAAAGCTGTAATTATGACTGGTGGAACAACAAGGTCAGTCAGCATCTGGAACAACAAGGTCAGTCAGCATCTGGCTAGTCGGTGAGCTGCAGTGGTTTCAGCGTTGATTATCTTGAGGCCAGGTTTACGTGATAGAGAAAAAGAAGAACCCTGTGGCATTTAGAGCAGAGCTTATTCTTTAAGTGTAGGGAGGAGTATGTGACCTAACCCTTGCCAGTCATGGCCTTAGGTCTGTGTTTATAATTTGGTATCTTATTGCCACAGAGAGTCCGTTCTGTCAGTCTTATGATCTGTCTTTTAACATTAATAACTGTCACTTATTGCATCTAAACCACAAATAGGAGGGGATTATAATGAGGTGTATCTCACCTTCCATCCAGTCATAACTGGGGACTAAGAATGAAATTTTGAGTAGGCAGATTCATAAAATACTGGAATAGAACGTAGAATAGAACTTGTATGGTCTGACCATGGAAATGTGAAATCAGGGAATAGGTGAATTATTACCTTCGTGTTATGCACACTACCCAACCAGATAAGTATTTGAGGTGTTTTTAAGTTCTTGATTCATTCACTGAATTCATTGTTTGTCTTTTTCTTTGATGGTGAAATTGTTGACCTTGATGAATATATACTAAATATATTTTGTATACATAAATGAACATTAATAAGAGAAAATCAGACTGGCCATATTCTTCTGTTTTATGTTTTGTAACACAGTTGATCATTGGTCCAACAAAATATCTGTGCCTGGCCTGTGAGAGACTGTTTCATAGGACTCTGTCTTTCCTGTCTTCTGTGGTTATAATTCTTCTGTGGTTATAATACTTGGGTCAGTCTGGGAAGGTGCTGTCTGTTTATTTTTATCTTTTTCTGAATATTTTATCTCATCATGGAGTTTGAGTTGGACAAGTTTTACTTTTTTTTTTTTTGAGTTGGAGTCCTCACTCTGTCGCCCAGACTGGAGTGTAGTGGCCTCTTCCAGCCACCGCAGCCTCGACCTGCTGGGATCTGGCAAGCCTTCCGCCTCAGCCTTCCAAGTAGCCGGAATTACAGGCATGCGCTACCACGCCCGGCTGATTTTTCTGATTTATTGTAGAGATGAGGTCTCACTGCCCAGGCGGGTCTCGAACCCACGGGCTCAGGCAACCCACTCACCTCAGCCTCCCAAGGCGCGGGATTACAGGCTGAGCCACCGAGCCCGGCTGGACAAGTTTTACTTTTAAACACGTGGCATCTTTTTGATTTTTTTAAAGCACAGAGCATTCTGGCATGTGTTGTCTTCACTCTCCCTGGGCCTTCGTGCCCTGCAGCCCATGAAAGCACTTAGAGAAGGCAACATGGGTTTTCTTCAGTGACTAGTAGTGTTTGGTTTTTACCTGTATTGCCATTATGACTTCAAAATGAAATAATTTAGTAATAAAAAAAGTTACTTGATAAAGGGCAGCTGTTTCACAGTGGCATTCCACCCAAGTAACCATTGACAGCAGCATCTAATTTGATGAATTCTTGTTGATTTTTCCAAAGATATGAATTGGCCCAGCAACTGCAGCAGCACCAGCAGGCAGCCGCAATGGATGACAGCAGTGTGGACCAGCAGAGCGTGCAAGTCTCCACACCGATGCAAGTGGAAATCGAGAGTGACGAACTCCCACAGGCAGCCGAGGTGGTCACGGCCACCCCTGAGGCCATGCTGGACCTGGAACCCCAGCATGTGGTAGGCACGGAGGATGCAGGGCTTGGTCAGCAGCTGACGGATCAGCCCCTGGAAGCTGATGAAGGTAGAGGTTTCGGGATCTCTGCCTTAGAATGATTTATACAGAGATGTACAGCCTTTCCTATTCTCTGCAGTCCACTCTGGGATCTTCAGTCTCTGACTTTTTAAGTCATAGTTTGTGGTATGTGTGTGTGCGTATGTGTGATATTGAACATTTATATTGCCCCATATATTCTTTAATCAGACTTTTTCCTTCAATTTTATTAGCTTTTTGAGGGCAAGATCCTTTTAAGCGCACACACACATACACACTCTCACCAAGTAATTCGACTTCTTGTAGGAAATTTCAATAGTATTTGAAGTCTTAGGACTGTAACATATCTATTGTCCATATTTTGATATAGGTGCTTTCAGTATTTTTCCTTACAAATGTGTAGGCATGTATGTGCGTGTGAATATGTGTTTTGTATGCATATAGAGTTTTAATAGGAGTAGGATCTTTCTGTGCATACTTGTTTGTAAACTACTCTTATCTCTACTGTATTGAGGGTATGTTTCCTTTTATGTTTGCATCTGTATGATGTGTGGCATTCTATTACAGTATATTCAGAGTGTAGATTTAGACTGATGCAGGTCAGCACACCATTTTTACTGGTCCACAATGGATCAGTAGGCTTCTGATCCAGAAGATAAAGCAACACATTGCTTTCTTAGTCAATAGAGTGTAGCTCCAAAAAAACCAGCTCGTCTGGGCACAGTGGCTTAGCCTATAGTCCCAGCACTTTGGGAGGCCGAGGCAAGAGAATTGCCTGAGCCTGGGGGCTCGAGATCAGCCTGAGCAACTTGGTGAGACCTCGTCTCTACAATAAATCAAGAAATAAGCCTGGTATGGTAGTGTGTGCCTGTAGTTCCAGCTACTTGAAAGGCTGAGGTGGAAGGATCTCCTAAACCCAGCAGTTTGAGGCTGAGGTGGCCATGAACAAACCACTGTACTGCAGTCTGGGCAACAGTGTGAGACTCCAACTCAAAAAAATAAAAAGTCAGTTCCACTGCAGACAGTGTGCAGGGACATGGCTGGTGTGTCTGGCCAGGCTGTTGTCACTCACAGACCTATACACAGTCAGCTGCTTTCTAGCTTACTGCTTTGCTTTATGAATTTTATTCTATGGGCTGTATTGTATAACTGTATTGTATACTTCCTGATCTCTATGATGCCTGCAGTAGCACACTCAAGTTACAGAATGTCATTTCATTTGAGAATATTACTTTATGGAACAATATCTAAGTTTTAGGACAAACTGTAAAGATCTTAAGTGATGATATTCTGGAAATACAAAGAGAATGCTTTAAATATAATATGTACACACATTCACACACACAAATGGTCTTTCTATTGTCTTTTCAAAATAAAGAGGCTGATATGTGAGAACTCACTAAAGTGTACTTTTGGACAGAAAGGTAGGTAGATGTGAAATAACTTCCAAACGTATGACCCCCTTTTTCTGCGTTCCTGTCCTCAGATGGGTTTGTGGCTCCACAGGACCCTCTGCGAGGGCACATAGACCAGTTCGAAGAGCAGACCCCTCCACCGCAGTCCTTCGAGCCAGCAGGGCTCTCCCAAGGTCAGTGGTGGGTTTTCAGTGAAGCTTGTAAATGAACTCTACCTGGGTTGGTTTTAATTTTACAATAGTCTTACTTGTTTTCTCATAAGGCTCTTCAAAAATTTATGGTTTCAAACCAAATAACTTTTTTGCATGCATTGTAGTTTGTTTTTTTTTTTTCTTTTTAATTGATACATACTGTTTTGTGGTCTGCTCAGATCTGGAAAGCAACTTTCACAACCAATTCAGTGTGTAGTTTCTAGCCAAGAAAAGATGGTTAAATACAAATGGGGCCCTCGTGGTAACTGGGTGTTGACGGCTGGTCTGTCAAACCTGCCCTGTGGTGATGTGTGCTGAGCACAGCCTCCTGCCAGTCAAAACTAGTCCTAATTCTAATTCAGAAAGTAGAAATGTCCCTTTAGACATTTTTAAATTTAGAAACCCAACTTTTGTTTTTCTTTTTTTTTTACTTTTTAGTGTAACTTTACTGTTTTTTTGTAACCTCTTTTTTCTATTTTAAGGTTTTACAGTGACTGATGCATACCATCAGCAGCCTCAGTTTCCACCTGTCCAGCAGCTACAGGATTCCAGTACACTTGAGTCTCAGGCCCTCTCCACAAGTTTCCACCAGCAGAGCTTGCTGCAAGCCCCTGCTTCTGATGGTATCAGTGTGGTGAGTGAGTGTGGATGGAAGGGATGTGTAGTGATCAGTAGTGACAGATGCTGCTTTATTCTTCACTGTCATTATCTAAAATGTCCTTAAGAGGACATGCTCACTTCTTGTAACTTTAAGGTTTTTTGCATCACCTGTAAGAACCTCTGTGGCTTTCTTTTTCTTTAAGACATGTTAATTTTACTTAAAGCCATGTTGTGACTTTGCCTTTTTTATTGAAAGCCAGGAAGCTAGTAGAGTGTTCTGAAGGATACAGTGTTGTTGTAGGCACAAAGCCTAAACATTTCCATTTGTGGCTTTTAGAAGGAAAAGACAATGAATGGTGACATTAAAGTCATTAAAATTTCATCTCTTACTCACCTTGGAAACTTTTAAATAATTTTTAATAGTGATGAAAACGAGTTTTTAAAAAGTTTTCAAGCAAAGTTTATTTAGAAAGTAAATTAGAGAGAGAGAGAGAAGATTCACCTTCCCAAGGTAGGGGAAGGGGCCAAAGCCAAGAAACATGGGGTCCATAGCTCAAAGAGCCATGTGGACACACTAGAATTTAACAAAGCAATAGCCAAAAGTTTTTAATAGTGATGGAAATGATTGATCAATTGTTATCTCTCTCTACAGTTCACCTAGGGTAGCTTTATGCAAGTGGCAGGCCCTCTAGTGAAAATTTCAGAGCATTTTTCTCATAGCTGGAAACTATGTGGTTGACAGCAGGTGTTGAATCTAGGAAGTGGAGGACATGAGCCCTAGCAGCTGGTCCTGTACTCTAGAGCCCTGTGAATCAAACCAAGCAACATAGTTCAGTTGTTATACAAAGTTGTACTGATATGGTGTGGGAGTCTGGGGAGCAGTGAGAACTAGACTGCACAAGATGCATTTGCTGCACAGAGGCAGGCGCTCTCCCTTTTACAGTCGGCCCTGTGACTGCCCATGCCTTCTGAAGGGGAGCATGCCCTCTGCCCAGTGTGGACATGTCTGAGTTCTGAAGTGGTCAGGAAACATTGTCCATGTTTCTGTTTCATCCTTGCTGTGGTGATATGGGCTGTAATATCTATTAGGAAGGCATGGGGTTAGTGTGACAGTTCCTGAGGATGAAGAATGCATTTTCTTTCTCCTCCTGTTGTTTTTGTGACAAGAGGAGACTTAATATTTTTTGAAAGTAAGATTTTTATTCACTGTCAGTTAGAGTAGGGCAGATAAAAGAGTAATTAAGATATATGAAATAATCAGTTTCATGGTTAATTAAACTTTGTATTAAGTAGGTTAGTAGAAAATAAGTTGTTATTTATTTCACAAAATTTGTGTAAATGACTTCTATCATTGCTCTGGCCCAAAGGATTGCAATGGACTACTTGGGGTTTCTTCTTTTCAAGCCTATCATTTTATGAATGTTCTTATCCTTGGTTCTTAGTTATTTTATATTTATTTATAGATATCCAAGTTATCTGGTTTATGCTTCTCTTAACTTTTAGACAACTCGTTTGATTCAAGAGTCATCCCAAGAGGAGCTGGACCTGCAGACGCAACGGCCCCAGTTCCTGGAGGACAGTGAGGATCAGAGCAGGCGCTCCTACAGGTATTGTCAGCACAGACCCTCCCTGCCCAGCCTACCACCTGCCCTGACAACAGAGTGCCAGCAGTGGGCTTTCCCTGTTCCCTGAGAATTCCCTGTTCCCTCAGATCTCTGCAAAAGTTTCCACTGTCACCCATGAATTAGAAACAAAGGATCTGAGACAAAAGGGATAAATTTGCTGAGATTTTTACTGCTAGTAAGTGACAGGGCCAAGGTTTGGAAGTGGCAACCTTCAGCCTGTATATTTGAAGTCCTCTGCTATAGCTTTCTGCCACACTTTAAGTCATTATTATCCTGTTTTCAAAAATAACTTAGTATTGTGCCTTTTAGTCAAAGACTCTTTATTTGCTTTACATGTAGCAAGCTGTATGCCAGAGTCAGCATAATTACAAAGACAGCTGTTCAATATGTTCAACCACTCACTCCATAGTCCATACTGAGTGCCTGCAGTGCCAGTGCTGACAATACCTGTAGGAGCACCTGCTCATCTAATGATTTGTTTCTCGAATGAAATCTTAAGTACCTTGAACCAGCATTCTTACACATTAGATTATTCACCTTCAGAAGGGTGACAAGCTAATATCTTCGTGAGTTTGCAAGTTCAAAAATACATTAGAGCAGTGATTTTTGCTTTGGGAATCCAGGGATTCTGAGGGATGACATAGATGAGCTTCAGGATTTCTGTGACTCTCCTGATGTTTTATTCAGTATTATTTGTTTGCTAGTGAATAATTTGGGATTTTTGCACTGTCACTTTTAAGTGCAATTAATGTTTTCTCATGATTCCTTCTTGATATCTGCTCAGGTGTTACTGGACTTTTAGCCTGTATCATTCATCCATCCATTCATTCAGCATTTATTAAGGCAAACACTAGGAGTATATTAGTGAACAAAACAGAAAAACAGGCAAAACTCAAACCTCTTGGCGTTTACATTCTAGAGGATAGTAATACTAAGCAAAATGAATAAGTCAACAACACAGTAGATGAAATGTGACTGTGCACCATGGAGAAAGGTAAGACAGGTAGAGGAATTCTAGTGGCTGTGTGTTAGCTGACTGAAGAGTTGTCACTGATATTGTAAGACATGGCCATAAGCTCTGGAATCTCTTTAGAAGACAGAACCTACAGAATTCATTGCAGGTCAAGATGTGAGAGAAACAGAAGAGTTAGGGATGACTACTAGAATTTTGACCTGAGCAGCTAGAAGGATGAACTTGCCATCACTTGGAAAAAGGATAAATCTGGGAGAGCAAGGTTTGGTTCTGTGTCATTAGGATTGATGTTTGGGACAAAATAGTATGTAGGCAGTTCTTTTCATCAGATTGGAATTAAGTGAGGAGATCCAGGCCCGAAGTACACATTTGGGAGTTATCAATAAACATAGTATTTAGAGCTGAGGAGGCATGTCCAAAAAAGAGAAATGGCTCAAAGATGGCACCCCTGGCTGCACCAGGAAGTGGTGGCTGATGAGAGGAAGAACCAGCCTCAGAGAGAGAGATGGACTGCCTGTGAGATGGAAAAGAACTTGGTGGGAAATGTTTGCCTGCATGTGTATTTTTTTGAGGAGAGGATAAGTAGCTTTCATTGGATTCTCAAAGAGATCAGAGATCCTTCTCCAAGACAATAAGAAACATGGATCCTATGGTCTGTAGTTTTCCCCATAATGTACAATAAGAGTAGAGAATGGCGAAACTCCTGGAGATGTGCTTCTGGGCAAGCTTATTGCAGATAAGCTGTGCCTATAGATATGATCCTTGGGACTCGACATGTATCCCCATCCCTTGCTGGCCAACCTCACTTGAGTATGCCTCACAGAGTCATGATGAGGGTCACTGGCCTGCTGGCACCACACCCAGCACGACAGCTGTCTGTGGTGGCATTGTCATATCTTTGGTGTCTATACTGCAGGCTTTTCTTGGACACTTTGGAAGAATAGCTGTGGTCAACAGAGCGGGCATGTGTTAATAGGGAGAGAGTGCAAACAGACTTTCCACAGGTGAAAAAGGGGCCCTCTCACGGAGACAGAGCTTGGCTTGTGCAGTGAGAGAGTGACTGGAGTAAGACCAGGGTTGGCAGGGGCTAGATGATGAGGCCCTGCCTGTCAAATTGGTTGCTGAAGGGTACATTGTTTCTCTGTGTTATGGCCAATTTGGTGGTGGTGGTAGTTGGTTTTAATTAATAGGTATGATTGTTTTGAAAGACTTGCTCTCCTTGCTGGAGAACCTGTTCTTAGTAAATCTCAAGTGGTTTTATGGTACAGTTCTGCGAATGGGTTATCTAGCATTGACATGTAACAGAATCAATCCTCATTTCACTGGTAAGTACTGGTTTTCTAAAACCAGCTCATGAATATTGTTTGCTTTCTACTTTTAATAGCTAGCCTCACCAAACCAAATTTTTATACGAGAGTAAAATTTCAAAATGTATTTATGCTCTTCCAGCCTTTAGTTTGGACTTCAGTAGATTGTTACTTGACTTTGTGAGTACCCAGTTCAGACATAGAGGCTGTAGTTTAGGGACTTTGCTAATCTCCTGTTAGAGATTAAAACTTGGGAATGAAAATAATAAGGGAATACTGACAGAATAAACTTTTACTAATATATGAATAGGAATTTTAAAATTTATAATTATCTTAATTCTTAAAATTCATTAACATTGATCCTTAAAATTCATTAACAACTCAGTGGAAAACAATACTGCATATTTACATATTATTCAGAATAATTCCAGTACACTCTGATGTATATTTTACAAACCAAGAGAGTATGTGGATTTTCATTTCTAAGTGACTAGCCATAAGAGTAATTCTGACTCTGGAGCAACAGAATGTTTCACAGTGTCTGACGACTCATTAAGAAAAGCACATAATATGTTTTCTTCCTGTTATATTTAGAGAAAGTTTCTAAGTAATCAAATATTATGTTTGCTGGGGATTTACTACAAGATTTACTAATTTTGAAGTAATAAAATATATTTAAGATTCCAAATACTCGAAGCAGAGTTTGATCTAACAAATTATTGTTAATATTTTACATTTTATTTTATTTATTTATTTTTTAAGTTGGAGTCTCACTCTGTCACCCAGACTGTAGTGTGGTGGCCGCTCCTGGCCACCGCAGCCTCAACCTGCTGGACTCCAGCGATTCTTCCGCCTCAGCCTTCCACGTAGCTGGAACTACAGACACGTGCTACCACGCCCGGCTAATTTTTTGAGTTATTGTAGAGATGAGGTCTCGCCTGCCCAGGCAGGTCTTAAACCCATGGGCTCAGGCAATCCACTCACCTCAGCCTCCCAAAGGCACGGGATTACAGGCTGAGCCACCGAGTCTGGCTATTATTTTACATTTTATGTTACCATTTTTTAAGTGTTGAGGAGCACACCTAAGTTCTGTGATAATTATGCTAGAATGTTCTATGGTTCCTGGTGAAGCTTGTTTGCTCTTTCATTCTCAGGTATTATATTTATAATTGTGCCGTGAATAATGGGGCCTGATCTCTCTACATGTTTGGCTTGCAGATGTGACTACTGCAACAAAGGCTTCAAGAAGTCCAGCCACTTGAAGCAGCACGTACGGTCACACACAGGGGAGAAGCCCTACAAGTGCAAGCTCTGTGGGCGTGGCTTCGTTTCTTCTGGGGTCCTCAAGTCTCATGAGAAGACACATACAGGTCGTTGTCTGCCTTACACTTAGAGATTATGCCAGTTTTGTTTTTAATAGAACAGTTTATTGAAATATAATCCACATACAATTCATTTCACCCACTTAAAATTCAGTGGTTTTTAGTATGTTCACAGAGTTCTGCAACCATCACCACTGTCTAATTTTTTTTTTTTTGAGTGAGGATCTCACTCTGTTGCCCAGGCCAGTGTGCAGTGGTACAATCATGGCTCATCACAGCCTCGCCCTCTTGGGCTCAGGCAATCCTTCCACCTCAGCCTCCAGAGTAAGAGCTATAGGTACATGCGACCACACCCAGCTAATTCTTTTATTTTTATTTTTAAATTTTTTTGTAGAGACATTTTCTTCCACTTTGACCTCTCTATGTTGCCCAGGCTAGTCTCAAACTCCTGGACTCAGGTGATTCTCTTGCCTTGGCCTCCCAAAGTATTGGGATTATAGGTATAATTACTGGTAGGATTACACACCCTATTCACCACTTTCTAACTTCAGGACATTTTTTATTACACCCAAGAGAAGTTCTGTATCCGCTAACAGTCATTCCTGGTCCCCCTCAATGTCTGCAACCCTAGGCAATTTTTAACTTCTGTTTGTATAGATCTGCCTGTTCTGGACATTTTATATAAATGAACTTATCCAATATGTGACATTTGTGTCTGTCTTTTTTTCACTTGGCACAATGTGTTCAAAGTTCATCCATGTTGTAGCCTGTGCCAGCACTTCATTCCTCTTTATGGCCATAAAATATTCCGTTGCATGGACAGACCCCATTTCACTTATCCTTCCATGAGTTGATTTCGATTATTTTTGTTTTTTGGCTATTATGAATAATCCTGCTGTGAACATTTATATAGGCTTTAAGTGGACATGTCTTTATTTATCTAGGAGTGGAATTGTTTGGTCATATGGTAACTGTGTTAAAGCTGTCTTCCATAGTGGTGGCAGCATTTTACACACCCACCAACAGTGTAGAGGATTCTGACTTCTCTGTGTCTTGCCAGTGCTTATTATTGTTTGTCTTTTTATGACTGTTCTCATGGGTGTGAAGTAGTTTCTCATTGTGGTTTTGAATTTCATTTCTTCATTGGCTAATGATGTTGAACTTCTTTTCATGTGCTTATTGAAAAACATCTGTTCTCATCCTGTGCCCTTTTTTACATGAGTGTTTGTCTTATTATTAAGTTGTAAGAGTTTTTTTTCCCACTATATTCGGGCTGCTGGACCTTCATCAGATATGTAGTGTGCAATTACATATATTTTTAATCTATGACTCAGCTGTTTAATACATTAAATATGTTTATTGAGCATATTAATAATATGCATGTTTAAAAGCAATTTGTATTTTGAGTAAGACTTTATTTGAAAACAAAGGTGTTTCACTAGAAGCATACAGATAAAAGAAGGAAAACTATATTGACTAGCCTATAGGTGGGTGGTTGGGGAATGGTTTCAGTGGATACTAGAAAGATTGGCTGAGAGCAGTTTATGTGGTACTCTGAAGGGCCTGCTGAGGATACAGAGAGAAGCAACAATGTGACTTTTACAAGGAAAAATGGAAGGAAGGATAGGGGTAGGAAGAAAATGTCCTTCTTAGCTGGTTCCTTCTATGTCATTGGACCAGAGAAGGAGGGTCTTCTATGTTGGACTTCATTTGAAAATAAAGCTGTATAGAGAGGCTTTAAAGACTGTTTCTTAGGGCCTAATCTACTTCGTTTCTTGTAGACATGATGACAAGATGAGTTTGAGAAAGCATTTCTGGGATAAAAACCAGAAACATGTTGCTAGTTTAAATGTAAAAGACTGAGGGGGAAAAGGACTTGATTTCTTTTGGGGAATGTGACTTCTCAGAGGCTAATTTCCATAGAGAATTCAGTAAGGTATGCTGTGTCAGTTTCTATGTTCTTATTTATTTATTTACTTTTTTTTTTTTTTTTTAAATAAATGAGGTCCCATTATGTTGCCAGACTGGTCTCAAAATTCCTTAAGCAATTTTCCCAACTTGGCCTCCCAAAGTGCTGGAATTGCAGGCATCAGCCACCATATCCAGCCTGTTTCTATGTTTTTAAAACAATTCAACCCTTTAAAATTGGAAACCGTGGCAAATAAATTATAAATTTGTGGCTTATGGAACATATCTTTGTTTGCTTTTGACTGTGTATGGTTTTAGGGTCATGAAATATGGTGCTTCCCAATCATTTTGTCCCATTTCTCTACTCACAGGCGTGAAGGCGTTCAGCTGTAGTGTGTGCAATGCCTCCTTCACCACCAATGGCAGCCTCACCCGGCACATGGCCACGCATATGAGCATGAAGCCTTACAAATGTCCATTTTGTGAGGAGGGCTTTCGAACGACAGTCCATTGTAAAAAGCACATGAAGAGACACCAGACGGTCCCTTCTGCTGTGTCAGCCTCTGGAGAGACAGATGGAGGAGGTATTTTTCACTTGCTGATTCAAGGCTTATTAATCAGATGCTCATTTAGTAATAAGTTAATTTATAAGTCACTTTGAGTATTTTAAGCTGTGTGTGGCTTAGCTCAGCAGGTCCCTGAACTTTTAAAAATTAATTTTATTTTCTGGCTACGAAAGCCATACATGCTCTTGGAAGGAAAATTTAGAAAGACACAGTGAAGAAAATGCCTGCTGTTACACCACACATTGAGTTAGCATTCACTCTGATACTAGGTTCTTCCTTCCAGATTATGCACACATGGAGGTAGAGTTTTTAATATTTTAGCAAATATGATATCATGCTATATGCAGTGTTGTAATCTGCTTGATTTTCCCTTTACTGTAGTTTATTTTGGACATATTTAATATATTAAACACAGATCTATATCAGTTCAAATGACCACATGGAATTCCATCATGTATTATGTACTTTCCTGTTGATAGGTCGATGGATGTATAGTTAATATCCAGTCTTTCAGCAAAATAATAACAGCTAGCATTTTGGGGGCACTTTAGCCCTTTGAACTCAAAGACTTCTCTTGGGTCACCCACCAGCAACTCAACTGCACTTTTTTACAAAATAGTGAAAAACGAACTACTTCATATTAAATGGTCATTGTGTTGGAACCAATTATTTTATTGTAATGATATTTGGTTTATAATGGAATTTTGGACATTGAGGAACTTACTTATTACAAAAATATAAAAATTTTATATATATCTCATATTTTTCTAATGTGGTAAAGTGAACAGTCACCGACATGCATTGCAGGTTCATTGATATATGCTGTGTAATAATAATTTGTTTGACATCTTCTACCTGTTTACTCGACCAGGCAGTACAGTCTTGTTTCTTCCTCTCATATTAATAATATGTAATTTATTGTCCAGTTTGTTGTATGAAGATGATGTGGAAGGATGCACTTGTGATTCCTGAAGACCACTTTTCAACTGATTGATCAGATGCTTGACAAATTTCAAATGGGACATAGATTTTTAAATTATTTTTGAATGGAAAACTTCAAGGAAACATACATTTTTGAAAAATTGTGCTCACATAAGTTTGTCCTGTATAATCACCAGCAATCTCTTTATGCCTCCTGAGAGGGGACAGCTGAGTGGATTGCTAGATTTACGATGTCCAATTGCAAAGGGACAGAAAACACTGCATAATTTGGTGGATTATTCTCATTTGGCACATGAGCTAACTAAATGTTAGACAAGTTAATTTGCTTGGGTCCCACACCAAGTAGAATAATCCTACTAATACTATTTTTGTGTTTATACTTTTTGTATTTATCATATTTTTTTTTAGTCAATTCCACAAGTGACATTGCAGTGTTTAGAGTATACTCCTTTTATATGTTGATACATATAGCCAGCACACAGCATTGTAGTCTTTAAATCCATGTTAGTTCTCACATACCTGTGAGTTATACTGGCCTGAGTGCACATTGTAGGCCTGGGTTCCTGCCTAGGAACCCAGGCTGTTTTTGTCTCATTTCTGTCCTCACAGGAATGAGAAGGTGTGTCCTGTCTGGCTCGATATTGTTGTGTGAATGTTGTCAGTGGCTATGTTGGGACAGAGGTGCTTATCATTTGGGTAGTGTTCTCAGAGATCAGATCTGCTGACCATTATTGGGTCTCTCCTTCTAGTTGCTTATCCCTCCATCTGCTTTGCTTTTTTTTTTTTTTTTTTCCCTGAGACAGGGTCTCGCTCTGTCACTCAGGCTGGAGTACAGTGACTCAGTCATAGCTCACTACAGCCTCAAATTCCTAGGTTTAAACCATCCTCCTACCCCAGCTTCTCAAGTAGCTGGGACTGCAGGCACATGTCACTATGCCCAACTGTTTTTAGCAATAGAGTCTCACTAGGTTGCCCAGGCTAGTCTCAAACCTTGGCTTTAAGCAATCCTCATGTCTTGACCTCCCAAAGCATTGGAATTACAGGTGTGAACCACTGCCTCCGGTCTGCTTTGTATTCATCTGACCACAAGATCACAGTGAGACCATCTAGCGTCCCTAGTCCCTAATGGGTTATACTCAAATGATGACAGTGTAGCTTTCTCTTCTATTTTGAGGAGTAAGTGTGTAAAACTTGCCTAACTTACCTCAAAATAACAAAAAGTCTGACTTATTTATTACTAGAGCCATTGTGCATCTTGTTTCTTCTGTAGATACCTGAATATTAAAGTTCCTGACCATTGTATTTAGTGAAATAGTTCAGACTTTTCAATTTGATGGTACTTAGTAAAGCCTTTATTTAAACCATTTAAAAAATTCTGTCATGAGATTTAGTTAATATAAAAAAAATTCTTTTCCTCCAAATTAATTAAAGAATATAGGACATCCAGGTATTATTTCTAGAACCTTGTATTTGGGAGAATGTTAAGTAATCAGCCAATACAAATAATCTCTAAGTCTAATAACTTATTGCCTCCCAATAGTTAATCAAGCCTCTAATACCACTAAGTCTGTGCTGTTAGGATTGATTTGAGGGACTTTGTTAGGGCTTCATCACACTTACCACACATGTGGTTTAGATTCACCTTTATAGATCTTGTTTCCCTCTTTTGAATCATTAGGGGGAAAACAACTGTATATGAAGCCTCTTGTCCATGGAAGAAAAATCCCTTGTAAAATTGTTTTGTTTTGCCCATATCTGGAGTCTTTTAACAGGCTCTGAGCTTCTCACCTTTATTGTGACAGCTAGCCTCCGTAGTCCCATACCTGCCATCCTGTTTCATATTGTCTGTCTGTTGTACTGAATTTTATTGATCTTTCTTCCTTTCATGTCTTATACTACATTGATTGTGTTCTTGATTACTTAAAAAATTCAAACACAATTCTCACTATAGTGAATTTATTTCTTCATGAGTGTATGCATACTTACCATACTTGGCCTCAAATCTTTCCTAATTATATTGATATGTTATGGGATTTTAGTTCACTATATTTTTTTTCCCTGAAATTTCTAGATGGATATTGAGTCTACTGACTGTCCTGCACAACTGACCTTCTTCCCCTAACCTATCTCTTTGCTTTCCTGTACTTCCCTTTTTTTCTCCTTCCTCTCCTCCCATCCTTTCTCCCTCTCCTTCCTCCCCCCCCATCCTTTTTTCCTTTTATGTTCTAAGAAAAATTATCCAGTTGACTTTTTTTCTTTTTTTTTTTGAGTTGGAGTCTCATTCTGTCGCCCAGGCTGGAGCACAGTGGCATGGTCACAGTTTACTACAGCCTTGACCTCCTGGCTCAGGCTTCCAGCCAAAGTTTTTCCTTCTCTGTTACATCTTAATTGTAACTTATTCATGGTTTTTGTTTGTTTGTTTGTTTGTTTGTTTTTGAGTTGGATTCTCACTCTGTCACCCAGACTGGAGTACAGTGGCATGCTCCCAGCCACCGCAGCCTCGACCTGCTGGCTTCAGCAATCCTTCCGCCTCAGCCTTCCAAGTAGTTGGAACTACAGGCGTGCGCTACCACACCCGGCTAATTTTTTGTAGAGATGAGGTCTTGCCAAGTTGCCCAAGCGTGTCTTGAACCCGCGGGCTCAGGCAGTACGCTCACCTTGGCCTCCCAAAGCGCTGAGATTACAGGCTGAGTCACCGAGCCTGGCCAACTTATTCATGTTTTAATCAATGGAGTATACACTTACATTTCAGTGATAAATACTCAAGCATGCAGTTGTCCCTCAGTATCAGAGGATTACTTCCAGGACCCCCAAGCAAACCAAAATCCTCAGATGCTCAAGTCCCTGATATTAAATGGCATAGTATTTGCATGTGAGTTATGCATATCTTCCTGTGTTCTTTAAATAATCTCTACCTGGGCACAGTGGTTTACACCTGTAATTCCATCACTTTGGGAGACCAAGGTGAGAGGATTGCCTAAGCCCAGGGGTTTGAGACCAGCTAGGACAGTTTGAAGAGAGCTTATCTCTACAATAAGTCAAAAAATTAGCCAAGTGTGATGATACATGCCTGTAGTTCCAGTTACTTGGAAGACTGAGACAGAAAGATTGCCTGAGCCCAGGTCAAGGCTGCAGTAGCTGCAAGTGTGCCATTATACTCCAGCCTGGGCAACAGAGTGAGACCCTGACTCAAAAAAAAAAAAAAAAAAATCTACCTACTACAGTGTAAATGTTATGAAAATAGTTCGTTGTATTGTTTAGGGAATCATGACAAAAGAAAAAGTCTATGCATCTTCAGTACAGATGCAACCATGCTTTTTTTTCTTTTTTTCTTTTTCTTTTTGCGTATGAATATGAATATTTTTGACCTGAGTTGATTGAATCCATGGATGTACAAGCCACTGATACAGAAGGCTGACTGTATTTTTAAAATTTTATTTTCTTCTTTATAGTAAGTCTTTTTAATTGGGATCTATTTGCTAATTTATCGTTTTGTTCTCCTGTTTTTTGGCTTCTGATTTTTAAAAATCTGATGATAATTCATTTCTTTTGCCAATATGAATAAATGAATATGTGTATTTATGAATAGTGATAACTTGTGTGGACACTGATAATTTCAAAGCTTTCTACTGGATTGCAGTTGAGGGTAGAAGCAGATCTTTAATTAGTGACTTCCTGATATTGGTAATCGTCTTCCTAAGGCATAGTCCTCACTTGGTCACTTGGTTGTTTTCTTTTTTTTTAAATTGATGCATCATGTTCATACATATTTGTGGGATGTATGTGATATTTATTACATACATTGAATGTGTAATTATCAAGTCAGGGCATTTGGGGTATTCACCACCTTAGGTATTTTATCTTTTCTGTGTTTTGGGAGCATTTCAAGTTATCTCCTCTAGCTCTTTTGAAATATGCAACACGATGTTGTTGGCTGTAGTCCCTACTATACTTTCACATACTAGCACTTACTTGGGTGACTGTGTGTCTCTACCCATTCTCCAGCCTCTCACTTCATTCCCTTCCACTCCCCACCCACTTCCACTTCCCACCCCCGACTTCCCAGTTCACTTGGCTGTTTTCTTTCTCAGTAGAATAACGTGGAGAGAAATAGCAGTTTCTACCATCTTAAATAGAGCTTAACTGAGTTACTTATTGTAACCTTGCTTACATACCTATTTAGTGATACTTCATTAAAACTTAAGCTTTTTATTAGGATTTTGATCCTTTTTCTTTATCGTGTTTAGACATATGTATGGAGGAAGAGGAAGAAAATTCTGACAGAAACACATCCAGAAAGTCTCGCCCTGAGGTCATCACTTTCACAGAGGAAGAGACAGCCCAGTTAGCCAAAATTCGGCCCCAGGAAAGTGCCACGGTGTCTGAGAAGGTCCTGGTGCAGTCAGCGGCTGAGAAGGACCGTATCAGCGAGCTCCGGGACAAACAGGCAGAGCTCCAGGACGAACCCAAGCATGCTAACTGCTGCACCTACTGTCCCAAGAGCTTCAAGAAGCCCAGCGACCTGGTGAGGTAAGCCACACCATGTGCTTCCCAGGCATTCCGTTCTGGAGAGCTGGAAATAAATGCCACACTTTCCTTTGAGAATTTCCACTGCAGTAAGGGTGGTTAGTTTCTGAACCCCAGGTCACTTGTACAATGGCTCCTTACTTACTAGAGTGTGTAGCTTTGAGCTTGTGTTAGTTCTGCATGGTAAGCTCGTTGGGAATAGTAATTAGAAAGTCTGTGTTCTCTGTAGATTGCTTCTGCTTATGTCCATATGATTGTGGCAGGAGTTAAAAATGAGAACGAATGTGTTAATTGAGGAGAACAGGACACTAGACTTGAGAGACAAGCAGAAGCTCAGTGAAGCCCTCTGTCCCAGGGCACTGCTTTCTGTGTTAGGACGTGAGAAGTTGAAGCTGATTTGGCAATTAGCCAATAGCCATTCTCAATGCATGCATTTGATGTGGCAGAATGGTGAAGAATTTGGAAACCAAGATTTGGGACAGAGAGCAGAAAGTGCTCTGGAAATGACAGACTGGAGAGAGAAGACTACACATAGACAGTCTCTGAAAATGCAGGGGAGTTTCTGATACCATCAGGGGGACTTTTATTTTTTGCTCTAGGAGATAGAAATAATGGGTGAAAGTAATAGAGCAAATTAAAACTGGAAGAACTGGTAAGATTTCAGAACAGAACAGGGCTGCTTCCGGAAACCACAGAGGGCGTTTTCCCTATACCTTATTCCGCAGGACAGCAGCAGGAAAGGGTGGTGGCCACCAAGGAGCTGTGGTGTTGGCAGTGCCCCTCTGTGAGCATGTGTACTGACTACTGTTCATGTTTCTACCACCATGGGAAGGGCAAGCACATTCAGCCAGAGTGGCAATCAGAGAGGGAATGTGGAGGAGAGAGAGGCCTGGGTGCATCTGAATTGTGGGAACCACAAGGGCATTGAATGTTGTGCTCCCTCTGCAGTTCAGGAGCCAGGATCTAAGAAGTTGATTGTGTGATCTGCGTGTGAGGAATAAGACAACAGAAAAGTAAACTAGGGAAAGGACCAAGGGAGTTGTGGTAGAAGAGTCTGGTTGTTTATAAGTAGGAATCCAATCTAGCCAGCAGTTGTGTTTGGCCAGGAAGAACTCATGAGTTAGCTAATAGGGAGGGTTAGTCTCAGAAGGGGAATAGTGGAGGAATCATAGGCAAGAAAGCAAGACCAGGCGAGGACGCCACATGGAAATGTTGAGACAGCCCTTTGTGGTTCTGAACACCACATCAGATTCCTACCAGGCTTTGGGGACGGATGTTGCCAAGGTAGCATGAAGTATCCTGTCTTCATCAGGAAGATGGGAAGGATGGGAGCCAACTGTACCTACATACAAGAAGTGTGGGGTATCCTAGTAGCTACATTATCTTCTTGTCCTGTCCTTTATTTGACACAAGTTCAGTGTTCGGCCTCCCTTATTACTTCCTGAGTGAATGTCATGCAAAAACAGTACAGAAGAGTGTCCTGCTTCCCACAGATGGCCACTGTCTACAGTTTTTTATGTATTTTTTAGCGGTGTCTACACATACCAACATTCGGTTCTATACCTCTGTTTTCACTTAATTCTTACATTCCAGTGAGCCTTAGATATTTGTCTTTCTTTGTCAGTACCTATAAACCAATTTCATTCTTTTTAATGGTATCTTAGTGTTCTGTTGCATGGGCATACCAAATTCATTTCATCAGACCCTGCTAATGAGCACTGAGCTTTCAGTGTGGGTGACCAGCAGGGCACTGCAGGGACTGGCTCCTGTGCACCTGCATGTATCTGACGACTTAGCACTGAGAGAGTCTGGCAAAGACCACCAGAGGATTATATCTTCATGTCTTTCAGAGTGTCTGAGTGCCTCTTTTCCAACCATCAAGCTAACAGGATGAGGGAAATGATACCTTGTCATTTTAATTTGCTCTTGGATTCTAAATATAGTTGAACACATTTGCATGTGTCTTTTGGCTGTTTGTATTTCTTTTTCTATGAACTGTGTGTGCGTTCCCCATATTTCTACTCTGGTACTGGTTTTTGTACTGTGGATTTTGTCCTACTCTGGTTTTTTAGGAAAACAGCCCTGTTTTTATTTGTCTGCAAATAATTTTGTTGTTATTTTGATTTGTTTATGGTGGGGTTTTTTTCTTTTTATGAAGTGAAATTTAGTTTTTATTTGACCAAATTTAATCTGAACATAGTAACACATAATTTTTATTTATATCATTAGTTATAAATGTAAAATCTTGAAGCTATTTGTAAATGTGTATATAGTTCAAAAGAAAAATACTTACTTGCAGATGCTTTTTGGACAGGCATGTTCGAATCCATACTGGAGAAAAGCCATATAAATGTGATGAATGTGGGAAGAGTTTCACTGTCAAATCTACCCTGGATTGTCACGTGAAGACACACACAGGTAAGGAGCATAAGGAGTGACACTTGCATCATTGGTAGATGCCTGATGGTAGCATTTTTTGTTTGTTTCTATATATTTAGCACACATAAACACTTTCAAAATTATCAGAAAGCTCACACTTCAGGAACCATGAAGAAATGGTTATAAATTTTTTTTATTCATTACTTAGGGAAAACTGTCTAAGTAACACTAAGAAAAAATATTTAGTCTCAAAAGTCAAGTTATAAGTTTTCTTGTATTCTTACTCATGCTTAAATAGCTTTGTTAAAAGATTACCTCTTAGTCTCATTTAGGCCAAAGAGATTGGGTTTATTGAGGTTTTGTAAAAAACTGGGGACTTAGCAAGTCTGATGACGGTTATCAGGTCTTAATTCTTTCTGTGTGGGAGAAAATCTTATGAAGGGAAAAATGAATGTCCAGTTTTTGTGGACTTTTTCTTATCTTCATTTCATTTGAGGAACTGAAAGTTAATGGTATTAATCAAAATACATTAAGCTTTTGCTTTTTGAATTCTGCATAGTGCAACCTAGCAGTTATGGGGCCAACTTGGCCTCTGCCAGCATGTGAATTCTGTCCTCCACTGGTGAGCTTGTGGCCTTAGATGAGCTAATTCTCCTAAGCCACAGTGTCCTGTGTGGAAGATGAGACTAATAATAGTACTTCCCTCTTTGAGAGTTCAGACATTTAAATAGCTTTAAGCACTAAGACGTTTAAATAGCTTAGAAAAGTTTTTGGCCTTTGGTAAACCCTCAGTGCCTAGAGGGCTGTTGCTATTATAACTCATGGAATTATGATATTGAACTAATTTATATTCTTAATATTTGGTTATAAGCAGAATTGAATAGACAAGTACAAGTAGAATTTCACACATTTATGTGAAGCCCTAGAATTATTTTCTAATGGGTTAATATTTGGAAGTAAATAAACAGATGCACTTACTTATCTGACTCTTCTGTGTGCAGTTTTTTGTTGTTTCACTAGGCCCCCTGTATCTGTCTCTATTGTGTAACTCTATGAACTTGCTGAGTATAAGGAAGGACCAGCCTTACTCATATTTGCATCCCCAGGTCTACTGTGTTGGCCTTCACACAATAGGTGCCCAGTGCAGTTCACAGTGACTTGGCACACACTGTTCATCATCTCCTTGTTCTGGGAGTTCAATGTAGGCTACGTGAATAAGGAATAGAAAGAAAAGTCTCTGAAAAAATATTTTTCAGTGCTTTCTTGTCCATTCTGAAATGATGATGTGGTTTCTGAGGACCCCAGAACCGTGTTAAGATGACGGGTCAAACTAGTCCTTTTGTGTGCTATCCTGATAGAAATCAGAATTTGTTCCTGGACCACTAGAGGGAAGAAGAAAGCCAGAAAGTGTTTCTACTCTTGTAAGGCAGAGCCCATGCTAATGACACTCAGCACCTTCATGGTCTTTGTTATACTCAGTAATTGCGCATAAAACAGCATCTAAGGAATTAGGTGCACGATATGTGACATGTGGCTCTTTGACCCAGAAGGGAATTTTCCTTTGTGCATTCTCCACATGCGGTGCTTTCCTGTACAGGCAATTGGTTGTTTCTGTTTGGCAGAAGAGAAGCTAAGCAATGCTACGATGTTTGGTGCCCTTTGTAAAATCAAAGAAAAGTGGCTGTGGTGCAGAGCTGGGCTAAGTCACACACTTCTAGTAAATGTAAACCAATACTGCAGTCATGGTGCAGTATAATACAGTGGGTTAGACACCATAAACCTCAAAGGGTTGTCAAAGTGCTGAATGCACATTGTAAACAATGTACTATTAAATCTCTATAAGTTGTCTGTCATGTCTAACATCTTACAGGTGAAGGGGTCTCTTTAATCCACGACTTCTGTCCGTAGATTCAGCATTTCAGCTCACTAGGAGGTGTGAATGTCCACTGATTTTTGGTGATTATGACTGGGCTTTTCACAGGTCAGAAGCTCTTCAGCTGTCATGTCTGCAGCAACGCTTTCTCCACCAAGGGTAGTCTGAAGGTGCACATGCGTTTGCACACAGGAGCCAAGCCATTCAAATGCCCGCACTGTGAGCTGCGTTTCCGCACCTCTGGGCGGAGGAAGACACACATGCAGTTTCACTATAAGCCAGATCCGAAGAAGGCCAGGAAACCCGTGACTCGAAGCTCATCCGAAGGACTGCAGCCCGTCAACCTCCTTAACTCTTCCTCCAGCGATCCGAATGTGTTTATCATGAACAACTCTGTCCTAACAGGACAGTTTGATCAGAATCTGCTTCAGCAAGGACTGGTGGGCCAAGCTATTCTCCCTACCTCCATGTCAGGTGAGTGCTGAGTCTGGGGAATGCAGTGGCACAGTGATTGAGCTGTTGGGCCGCAGCTTAGTCTATGGAAGAAACATCTTCAGCAACAGGATGTTTCCCTTCCTGAGACTTTCCCTCATAAGGCAGCAGAAAAATTGAAATTTCTTCTTTTTTTGGACATTATTACCTTTCCTTTCCCATTCTGTCTTCCATGATAGCTGCTTTGTAACACCTTAGTACTTTTTTTCTTTGGTGGGGCGGCAGGGGGTGATCTCAAAGGCAGCAGAAAAATTGAAATTTCTTCTTTTTTTGGACATTATTATTATTATTTTTTTGAGTTAGAGTCTCACTCTGTCACCCAGACTGGAGTGTAGTGACTGCTCCCGGCCACCGCAGCCTCGACCTGCTGGGCTCCAGCGATCCTTCCGCCTCAGCCTTCCAAGTAGCCGGAATTATAGGCATGCAGTACCACGCCCGGCTGATTTTTTGATTTATTGTAGAGATGAGGTCTCGCTGCCCAGGCAGGTCTCGAACCCGCGGGCTCAGGCAATCCACTTACCTCAGCCTCCCAAAGGCGTGGGATTACAGGCTGAGCCACCGAACCCGGCTTTTTTTGGACATTATTACCTTTCCTTTCCCATTCTGTCTTCCATGATAGCTGCTTTGTGACACCTTAGTACTGTTTTTCTTTGGTGGTGCAGCAGGGGGTGATCTCACTCTGATGCCCAGGCTGGAGTGTAGTGGTACCATCATGGCTTACTACAGCTTCAACCTCCTGAGTGCTGGTGATTCTCCCACTCAGCCTCCCGAATGGCTGGGACTACAGGAAAATGCCACCATGCCTGGCTAATTTTTTGATATTTTTGTAGCAGCAAGGTCTCACTATGTATCCCAGGCTGGTCTTACTCTCCTGGCCTCAAGTGGTCCTCCTGCCATGACCTTCCAAAATGCTAGGATTATAGGAAAAAGCCATTGCACCCAGCCTTAGCTCTTTTGTTTTTAATGTATTGAAAATTATTTTTTCTCAGTTGGCATTCTCATAAATTTAATAGCGAGATGTGTGATTTAAAAATACTCATTATTGTTGATACAGTTTTTCTTATAACATAGTGCTTGAAAAATTGATTTGTAAACCTACAGGTAAATGTAGCAGTTGTATGTGGCAATTTAACATCCTATGTGCCTTTCTTTCTGTTTCTGTGTTATGATTTCATCTATCACTTATTAGTTGTTGTTTTAAACCTTGGACTAATCAGTAGAATCTCTTTGAGACACTTTTCTGTGATGTTTAAAATGGGTAATATCTATTTCACAGAGTTTTATTTGGTATGATTAAATAGTGTATGTATATGATATAAAGTGATATTAGTATTTTTTAACAAGATCATATTGATATAATATGTACAGCTTACATATGTAAAAATTTTTATGAAAAAATTAATTTTTTTTAGTTTTGAGAAGCATTAATGATATTCAGTCATTCCCTTTCTTTCTTTGACCAGCTGGGGGTGACCTGACAGTGTCTCTGACAGATGGGAGCCTGACTGCCCTGGAAGGCATCCAGTTGCAGCTGGCTGCTAACTTGGTTGGACCAAATGTGCAGATTTCTGGAATCGATGCCTCCAGCATTAATAATATCACACTGCAGGTATGGTGCCTGCCATGGTCTTCTGTGATGTCCTGCTGGCTCAGTCACATGGAAGCCTGACATTTTCATCTCAAGTTTCCGTGTTGTCTTCCAGATTGATCCGAGCATCCTGCAGCAGACATTGCAGCAGGGCAGTCTCCTGGCCCAGCAATTCACTGGGGAGCCTGGCTTGGCCCCACAGAGCAGCTCTCTCCAGACACCAGATAGCACGGTCCCTGCCAGCGTTGTCATTCAGCCCATCTCAGGCCTGTCCTTGCAGCCTACAGTGACGTCTGCTAACTTGACCATTGGTCCGCTGTCTGAGCAGGATTCCGTGCTGACTACGAGCAGCAGTGGTGAGAGCCAATTGTACTCACTGGCTTCTGTGGCTGGAGTTTTAGTCTCTTGCGTGTAGTCATACCTTTGACTTAGAATGCTACAGCATCATTTCCTTCCCTCTGTGAAATATATCAGATGTGCTAAGAAAAACATATCTTTTCTTACAATTAATGATGTTTATTACCATATGCACATAGATTACTATCTTCATAGAGTTACTCTTCATACTGGCTTTCCCTTTCATCATATGGCTGTCTGCTCTTTTTAGATGAAGGAATTAGAGATGACTAATACTTTGTTTTGAAGTTTTGTCTTTAAAATAACAAAACAATTTAACTAAAATATTTTTAACATTAAGAAAGAGAAAAATGTTTTTTTAAAGCTCAACTTTGTCTTGCTTTGTAATGACGATCAGGGACTCAAGACCTCACTCAAGTGATGACTTCACAAGGTCTTGTGTCTCCCTCTGGCGGTCCCCATGAGATCACCCTGACCATCAACAACTCAAGTCTAAGCCAGGTCCTGGCACAGGCCGCTGGGCCCACCGCCACATCATCCTCGGGGTCTCCACAGGAAATTACCCTCACTATCTCTGGTTAGTAAGTTAATACTCTAAGCATCCTTTCTCCCTGCAACTTAAGTACTATATATCTTGTATCTTTTTTCCACAACACCCAGCTTTGCATAAAGCCAGTGCTCAATAAGTATTTGTAATTTATGTGAGAAGTTCAGATTTAGTGAAAATTATGTGTTATTACTCAAATCTAGTGCCAGAAGTTAAAAATTAGTTTCTCATGTCACTTCCAGTTTGAGGTAGAATCTGCTATTTCATTCATTCATTCATTCATTCATTCATTCATTCATTCATTTTTAAAGAGTAGGTTATTTTTTCGCATAATTTTTTGTTTAGCAAAGAAGCAGAAAATATAACTTTGTGATTTTTACTAATGCTCCATGAAACTAAAGGAGCCTCACTGGTATAGAGTGTGTTCGTTAGGACATTATAGATACCCATGGTACTTTCTTTACCTTTTGTTTTCAGAATTCTTCTCAGATTATGTAGAAAAGTTTAAAATATGGTAGGATGTTGAAAAGTAGATAAATGAGTACTACCCTTTGGCAGTAAATTTCACTTAGAATTGGCAAACCAATTGTGTTTGTGGTGTTCACATTCTGATTTTCTTCTTGTCTGTGCCCTCCTGGATCCTTAACTGCCGTTGGTACCGGTGGCATGCTCTGATCAGAGTTAGCATGGACATGTCAACCTGGTGTGCATTGCCCCCATGAGTCATAGTTTTGAGCACTTCATGCTAACTCAGAGCCATTTTAAAAGTGAACACCAATTTTGTATAGCCCTTACTATTTGCCAGGCATTGTTCTAGTAACTTTTACAAATATTAACTCAATTCATTTAAGACTCCTAACCACCTTATATGTTATTAGGAAAACCCTGCTGGGAATAAAAATAGCCTCTGTGGAGACACAGTGTGTGAGGGAGGGGAGCAGCCCCACTTTCCCACAGCACAATGTGGAGGATGGCAGCCAGGACTCCAGACTGCCCTGCTGTGAGGTGCTCCCGGAGCACCTCTATTGTTTCCATGAGAGTTCTGCAAAAATTAATTTTGGAATTGAAAGAAAAGGTATTTAGAAGAAAACCAAAGCTTTTCTAGGAAGGTGTCTTTAGTCCTTTTAATATGTAAGAAGTCTGAAAAACTATTTTTATTTATTTATTTTTGAGTTGGAGTCTCACTCTGTCGCCCAGACTGGAGTGCAGTGGCCGCTCCCGGCCACCGCAGCCTCGACCTGCTGGGCTCCGGCGATCCTTCCGCCTCAGCCTTCCAAGTAACTGGAATTACAGGCATGCACTACCATGCCCGGCTGATTTTTTTTTTTTATTTATTGTAGAGATGAGGTCTCGCTGCCCAGATGGGTCTTGAACCCGCGGGCTCAGGCAATCCACTTACCTCAGCCTCCCAAAGGCGCGGGATTACAGGCTGAGCTACCAAGCCCGGCTTGAAAAACTATTTTTAGATGGTTTGCTTTTAAATGACATGCAGTGATTTTTAGATGCTGCTGGACAACAAAATTAACACTGAATGTTATATAATTCAGTAACCTTCCTCCTTTCATTACACATAAATGTATATATGTATGTATATATATGAATTTTAATATTGGAAATATAGGAGAGTTATTTCAAGAAATAAATTTTGTTGATCAAATTAACTTTTTTTGAGTGCCCTTGATCTATGAGACACTGTGCTTGATCCTATCAAACACATATAATGCATGATTCTTGTTGTTCAGAAAATATGTTACTCAGTTTGGATTATATTCCTGCTTCTCTCAGGTTTTCCTATTACTGACCATTTGGTTATTTTATTGCATAGTAGTATTTTCAAAAGTGTAGTTGAATATTGCTGCAATTTTTAAAAATTTGGTTTAAAACCTTCTAGGAAAAAACAGTTAATGAAATGAGGTTTGTGCAAACTTTGGGCTTAAGATTTCATTTTTTCTCACTTCTTATTATGCTAGATAATGAGAATTGGCTTTGGTGACTCTCAAGTCAACACTTCCTTATTCCACTCTGAAAGGATGTGGAATACATTTAATCTATGGTCACCTGCTGGAAGCATCTAGATGTTCTATAGAAAGTTTTAATTATTTTGTAATATGTTCTTTCCTTTAGTGCATAGAATTATAAATGTTTGCAAACACTAGAGAATGCAAATATTACCTTGGTTAAGTTTTGCACATTTTTGGAAGTTCCTGAGTCCTGGTGTTTGGAGAAAAGAATTAAACTTTGAGTAGAAGGCAAGGACAGTCCTTGGCCTCCTCAAATTATCTCATGCAAATATGGTAAAAAGTCCTCTTACCTGATGTTTTCAGCCCAGTTATTAATAGAAAGCTATGTAAATTAGGGAATCAAAAAAGGAATGCATATATAGTTTGAATATTCATCCACAGATCTTTTGAATGTGGGTCTGCTCTGCTAATAATACATTTTCTACACTTTGAAAATTCTGCCTGTACTCATGTTTATAATGCATAATTTGATCTCCTTTTTCTATTTCTTTAGCATGGCATAAGGATGTATGACAAAGCAGTCAGTGTAGTGTCCTTTTGTCTTTGATGCTCTTTCCCCCTCTGGTTTTGTGTCATCTTGCTTATTCCTAATTTGACAACAATTTTTAAAGCCTCTGTCTTTACCGAGTCTTTCCAAAGCATTAAATTTGGTTTTCATTGGAACTTTAGCAGGTTTTTTGGTTCTCATCTTCGTTTCTAGTGTGCATTACTTGATTACATTATATTACAGTAGCTAATGAAGAGGCAAATGCAGGCTTCAAGCCATAAACAAGTGAGCTTTGGCAGGAATGTGCTGCAAATTTGCTTGGGAGCATGCAGAGCATCTGGGCAGGAGGCATGCCCCCGGGGAAATCACAGCAGGTCAGTGCAAGCCTACCGCCTGGTGGAGGTCACTTGAGGGCAAGTCTTTTACTGTTTGGTGCTGTCCCTTAGATCCTTTCAGCATGTTTTGCTACAACTGGCAGTTCACTACATTTCCAATTCAGTGAATGTTTCATTCAACTAAGTGTGATTTTAATGCCTAAACTCTAAGTTAATGTAGATCTCATAAGAAGTATTTTAAAAATACTTTGCAACTTAGAAAGTGTGAACAAATACTGTCACTTAGGAAAATGTACTTTGTGGTCCCATTTTCATTTTTTTCATTTATATTACTAAAAGTGAAAGCTTTGAGGTTGCTATTATGTGTTTAACACACTTGCCAGCATGTAAATTAGAATGTTATTTTCAGATATCACAATATTAATTTCCATTTAGGTCAAGATCTTATTCACCACAATTCTAATGGAAATAGTGAACTTAACGGGAGCATAAGATTGTCAGCACCTGCAATCAATAATCATTCTACAGGTGCCACCTTAACAATAAGCAGTGATCAACTTCTCTCACAGAGCGCAACATTAAACTCCTCAGGTATGCGGCTCATGGCTTAGCCAAACTGACATAAGAGCATAGTTAAATATTTCTGCACATAGTAAATAGAAAGGAGTAGACTAGCCGGTAGCATGAGTGTGTCAACTTCATGTCTTGTTACATGCAGTATCATTCCATAAGGATTTATTAGTGGCTTCTATATAATTCTAGGAAACAGAATTCTTTCTAGAGTTAGCAACCAATTGATAATTTGACTTTTTAAGTAATTAACTTATACCAGGCATTGTATATTTATTCAAGTTAGCATTTTGACAGCTCCATTTGCCAAGCTGTCCCTTTTTGACCTGGCAATGGAAGGTCCTCTCAGCTTGTTACTCTGCCCTGTGGTGAGACTTTTCTTTTTCTGACAGCAGGATAGCAGAATTGCAAAAAGACAGCTTTCTAAGATTTAAAGCATAGGCTTTTTTAAAAAGTAAACTTTTTAATAAGCTCAAGTAAAATAAAAGTTTATAATCAACCATTAACAGTTTAGGATGACATATCTAGATGTTATCGTTATCTCATAGAGATTTCATTAATTTCTAACCTTCTTATTTTCCAGCTATGAATATCGGTTTTTGAGGGAAAAAATAATCTTTAAATATATTTTTACTCAAAAGCTAGATTTTTTAATTAAAAAAATAAAATGTCCTTTTATACGTTTATTATATAATTCATTTTATATTCAGTAAAAGATTATAGTGTCTCTACTAGGTGGTAAGAACTGCAAAATCTGGGAATGCAGCACTGAATAAGGTTACTACAGGCCCCTGCACTCTGGATCTTAGAAACAAGCAGAGTGTGGGCGTTTAGAAGAATCCACAAATAAATGTACAATAAGAGCTGTAACAGAAGATACAGGAGAGATGATGGTGCAATACAGGCTTGTCACAGGGTTGACCCTGCAAGGAAGGCTCAGGAGTGGAGGAATGGACCCACATTCTTTCCACACCAGTGACACGACTCTGGGTGGCTCATGGTGGCTTTTCAATTGCCTTCATGCTGGGACTTTGAGATTATAATTTAGTCTGTAATGGGTAAAATATCTAAAATATATCATGTACTATTAAAGTTACATAGCAAACTGGTTTTTTTACACGTTTTCTAAAAGTCGTAGTTTGTGTTTCTTTTTAAAGGATTAGACAGTGTGTATCTTGCTTGTTATCTCTAGAATTCTAATCGTAGGCTGTGAGTTTGTTGTCTTTCCCATGCCTCTTGGTCATGTTGTGATATGAAGATGTGCCTCTTGGTGTGTGCGTCAGAGTGAGTGGTGTCACTTGTGGTGGTCCCTTATGGCACGAGGCTCCCCTCCTGCTCTGCTGAGAAGGAGACTGACCATCAGCACTTGAGTCTCACATCTTCCTGGAAGCTGTGCTTGATATCCTTAGTGAGTCTTTGGCAAAGGGGTGGAAAGATAGGTAGAGCTGTCCAAGTTTAACTCAGGTGGAGTGGTTTTTTTGTGCTTCTTAGTGATCCTGAGTGTTTGCTGGTACAGCAGATTACTTAATTCAAAATTGGGTATGTTCTGATTGAACGGAGAAATTGGATGGAATGAGAATGTGTGAACTCTGTCTGAGGACTCTGTTTTGGCAACCA